TTTTTTCTTACCGTGTAAGAATCAGTTGAAAGAAACGAGAAATTAAATTCAATCAAACGTTTTCTCCGCCGAATTAATCATATTTTCGAGCAGTTTTGGGAAGCGATTATCAGAACATGAAGCAATCAATTCGAGATTTTTCAAGCTTAGCATAAATAACACCCTATTATCTCGAGGCTCTAAAAACATCAAAATATGGTTCCACGCTAAAGTTCGAGTGGTAGGAAATGTCATTTTCAACTGCTCGAATGATATAGTCTGCTTATGTTACAGTTTAAGAACACTTAATTTTACATGAAATGTTTGTTTACGTTCCATGATTTACGTCCAGTATGGATTACGTCTCGCGTAAAAGTAGCTATTTTTAATGGTGAATTTGTTTATTATTCAGTTCCAACCTGGATCGGGTATCAAGATTGGATCTGCTTGTTTTCTGCCAAACGTCAGTTGGATCGTTTGTTTTTAAAACCCACCTCAGGTTGAGGTTCGCAAGTTCGCACTGACAAAAAGTTCGGTTTCGATAATAAACAAATTCGATATAAGTGTGCACGCTCTCTGGTTTTATCCTTAACGGTACGCAACCGTGAGTAGAAGGATAACTTCAAGGGGATCAGCCTTAGTCTGATCCGTAGCGCTTCGCTACGGATTGCTATTCAAGGTTAGTTCTCGTTAGCCCTCGAATGAAAATCACCTCGAGATCTCCCAACGAACTACGTGGTTACGGGCGAGGTTACGTTTTTGGCGCAGGACTACGTCTGTAATTTCTATATGGGGGTACACTTTGTAAAAACCTAAAATGGAACATGTAACAAATTATGAAAGTTTTTGAACGTTAATAAGTCAGCTGCCCCTGGACCAATTTCAATAATTTTATCACTAATCGATTAGTAATATTTTTACGCATCTGTTAAATTTAAGACTTTATCATTTTTCAAAATGTCAGTATTGAAAATTTAATGTTGCTATGATAATTAAAATTATCACCGATTGCCTGCGAAAAGCGATTTCCCTAACACAGATTTCAAAGTTGAATTCCAACCGGTCTCACCATACGGTGTTTATCAATCACTGCGTGGTGAGTGGTGGTGTTCTCCAGCACACAACGAAAGGCTGATTGCAAGCAGCGAGCCACAGTCCACATGAGCATCCATAGAAGGAGTAAGAAGCCACACCGCTATTGATCGGAATCAGTAGCTCTTCGTGAGTCGCTGTGGGCCATCTATGTCAAGCGCGTCATACTAAAGAGTATAATCAGAGAGAACCCCGCTCAAATTCCTATTCCTAAACAAAATACAAGCTCCTGCTGCAGTTAACGAATAAGATTGATTATATAAGACCACGTAGACCTACGTCACCATGGCGTACAACCAACAATCAATACGAAACTAACGATTTTAAATTGGCTCACCACTTTAGTAGCCTATTGGTCCCAAGCAAACGATTAACGTACCCTATTCTAGTTGAAATTCTATTACTACACTATGTTTGTTTTGATTCGCTATGAAAGTTTGACAGGTAACATCAGGGGTGTGTGGATTCATGCAGAACATGCAGGGGTGAGTGAAATAGCTTGGGACTGCTTGGGACCGTTGTTCTGGTACTGAGTGAGCCAAAAATAATAATGATTTTCTTCGGGACCCAGTGGTCTTAGAGTTACCTCTATGGTACAACCCCATAGGGCTGTCCCTTGTAGTTTTTTTAATTCTTTATTGAGGAGATTTTTAGCCTATGGCTAGTTCATCTCCGGGGGCGATGTTACGGGTGCCGACTGTGTTTGAAATTATGTTAGCGCGGATACCCAATATCCGCTAATTTCCAAAAAAAAATCCTCACGCATTTTTTATATTTTCAGCTCCCACTCTCACTAAAAGTATTCAACCGACTCACGTTTTCTTTTTCCTTAATTTTCGAAATAAAAGTTTCATTAAACTTTTTTGCATTTCATTTTCCAAAAACATGTGTTTAACAGTTTCTTGAATTTCACTTGCCTTACGATTTTTATTTAGATTTCAAGGCTTATATGTTCTGGAGATATTTTAAAATCAATCAAGGGTTGATGCATATATTATGTCACGCTCTCAGGAGGGAGAGGGCTTCTAAAATTTTGACGATAGAGAGGAGTGGGGATTAAGTTTTCCTCGATTTAGCGTGATATTATTAATGCATGGGCCCTAATAAACTTTCACTTGTTTTAATGATTCATCTAATATTCACTTTTATATAGTTTGCTTCAAATTCACTTTAGATTACATTAGCTTCTTATTCACAAAATAAATCTTCTTTAAAAGTTCAACTGATTTGGCAGTCGAAAAGGGAAAGATGGCATGACCTACTTCCTTCAACTTTCCACTGAAAAACGAACCTTTTCTATGATTGTCATTTTTACCCTCTTCTAGTACCCATCATCATTCTCTTCTATTCGTGCACTGTAATACATGTTGCCTGCTTCGAAGGCGCAAAAAATAAATTATATACATCTGAATAGGGTTCTCAATGAAACTTGAACCGAAAGTCCGTTTCACCTTTTAGAATAGTCGGTAGATGAGCCGGTAGATTGGCAACCCGGCTGAGCTGTAACCCGGCTGAGTATTTCGATACTAGCCTAAATATTATGATTGTTACACGCAACTTCTAACGGCGCCGGTGGTGTAGTGGTAAGCGTGATTACCTCTCAGCCCAGCAGGCCTGGGTTCAATCCCAGTCGGCGCCGCCGGGATGTTCTGAGGCATAACATCTCTGATCACGCCTTCCTTCGGATGGGAAGTAAAGCCGTTGGTCCCCGGTTCATGAGTTGATGGGTCGATAGGTAGGGTCCAGGTGTGGGAGCTGCCTTCCTGGCACGTCGGTAGCATTGGTGCTCAGCACGGAAAACAAGATCGACGGAAAAAACAAACCAAAGAAAAAAAAAAAAAAACACGCAACTCCGAATCCTACAGATGACACTGATGACAATATTGAAGTTGATGATGATGATAGTGAGAAATAAGTATTGCGCATTTTGCACCAAATTAGACTCCTGTGTAAAAAATAATTGCACAGTAATATTTTCGCACAGGCCAGAAAATTTAAAAATTGACTTTTTTGAAAGCAGTAACAGCTTTAGAACATTACTAGCAAGCTACACTGTTGAATTAAAGCTCTAGAAAGCATTAAGAAGCTCCATATTTAACTTTTATGATCAGTGCGAAAATATTACTGTGTACTTATTTTTAGCGCAGGAGTCTAATCAGGTGTGGAATCCGCAATACGTGTTGGTGGAAAAGTTGTACGTGGTGAAGTTGAAGGCTATATTTAAATGATGTCAATGATAAAGTTCATGGTATTTTTTAACTTTATGATGATGCCTGTTGGCTGAGACTTGAAAAGTCTTGGTCAGGTCACCAATCAAACAAACTAAGTTGGTATGTTATCCAAGTCAAATACTCACGGTCTTCTGCCACCAGAATCTCTCAAAATTGAGTTTCCTGTCTCTTACATTGGACTGTAGCTGAATGTAATTACGTCTTCTGTCCATGCAGTCGCCACATACAAAACCCAAAAAACAATGATATGTTGGGCACTATATAAACGATAAAAGCTGAATTTCACAAACAGAATTCTCTCGGCAGTTAACTGGATTCAGAAAGGATTTCAAGATAAATTACATTGATTGCATCACCCCGAAGCAGTAAACTAAGCGCAAGGAGTCTACAGAGGGAGGGGAAAAACCGAAGCGATAACAATCCAGTTGTGCTGTGCATGCTTCTTCATTGTTCAAAGTAAATATTTTTCTTTAAACTTCTCACTCACAGCTCCAGCTATCACAGCCCGAATTGAAATGACAACCGGAAAACGCAACCGGAGGGTGCAAAATTTCTTACTGTTTTGTATGTTCAGAATCTTTAATAAATCACCGAATTTACAGATTCAGGGAAAAAGTTGCTTGTTTGCACTACCTGAAATGACGATCGAATTCTTGTAAATTTTTATTAGGGAGCAGCCGACAACCCAGAAGGTTCCCTGAAAGCAATCGTAGTGCCAATCCTTTCGCACTGATAAGGAAACAATTTCTTCCTTCAAGTTCAGTTCGAATGCATGTAGGGTTACGGTATTTATTTTCGTCCTGACGTTGAACCTAAAATCCTATCGACAATTGGGTTGTTTAATTTCGGAAATCATACTGAATTGCATACATCATCTGAAAGAGCTTCTGAGCAAAACAATAATTTTATCGATCCCATAAACATTCATCTCGATTTTTAAATCAAAATTCAAATTTTTAATGCTTGACACTAAATATATTAGTTGACAGCTCGCTCCCTTCCAGGGGCTTACATCAAAATTGATAAAATTTTGGATGTTGGTTCTATTCTTGAAGCAGTTTACGAATTTGGTTTTACCTCAATACCCATAAACAACCCAATTGACAGTAGAAAGTTCTGCTTAAAAGGGACTAGATTGATAAAACAATTTCACTGACCCGGAAAGGCTTCAATAATGGGTTAAAGCAAACGGTAGGTGCCGCAACCCTGAATGACAACACAGTGCCCACTTCTGATGAAGCAAAAAGAAAAGTTACTGCTGGAATCAGTAATGCAATTTAAAACTGAGCAAAATTCAATTTATAAACTTGCCTTCTATCTCCGGTGGACCATTGGCGAATACAGTACAGTAGAATGACAGCTTTCATTCTCTTTCTTCCTCTACCACCACCAGGCTTGGATGGGGGAAAAGAAAAGCTGACTCTGCACCCGCCCGTCAAGTGATTCCATTTCGATGCAGTATGAGATATTCATCGCTTAGCTAGGAACTCTTCCCCATAAAAGATGACTGCGAAATACTGCACCCACTATTCCTTTGATCTACCAATGGTCTAATGGAGTCGCTTTGAACCCAGGAGGAAGCAATCATAAATCTTTCAAGTATGTATATATTGATTGTAACGAGTACTTCGTCGGCAAAATTTCCACGTCGGTAGTTTTTATCCATTTAGAAATTCCAATCACTCGCGGAGAACTCACCTTGAAACGAAAACCAAAGGTTCACCAGGAAGGGATGTTCCAGTGTGGCCAGCAGATCGACTTCCTTGAGGACCCCTCCGAGGGCCCCCCGACCGATGCAGGCACTGCGGCTGACGTACTTCATGGCGAAGAGATTGCCATTGTCGCGCTTCTGAACGATGCACACCTGGGGGAAGAGATGGGAAAATTCCGGATCAGTTAAAGTCACATTGCGTTCGGAGCTTCGAAATATACATTTATATGTATGGAATAGCGGTAAGTTCAGAAACGACTGACATTGCGAGATCTCTTGAAACTTCACGAACTTTTAGAGCTTCTATTCGTAAGGAGCATTTTGATCTCCTGGAACTTTAAGAATGCCCGTAACTTTGGCTAATCTGGGCATGTGTCAACAACTTGCGGAACTTCTGAAACTAAAAGAATTTCAGGGTTAGGAACTCCGCAATATTTTGTCACAGAGCGTTCGTTAGTAACTGATGCGCTGAGAAACCTACGATTTTAGAAATTTCCCACACAGCTGAGAAAAAGAGACTCTCACTCTGAGTTCTCTGCCTTCTCAATTCTTGATTCTCGATTCTTACTTGGGTTGTTTAACTTCGAAAAATATAGCAACTTTTATACATCATTAGATAGAGCTTCGTTTCCTGAACACGATTTTTAAATCAAGATATAAATGTTTGATCGTTGACACTAAATCTATTCGTTGACAGCTTGCTCCCATACAAAGTCCCACCAATGGGCGCTAAGATGGTGATCTTTGCTAATGTAATAGCATTTATTTGAAATAGTTCCAAGGCACCGAAAATGATGAAATTTAGGATTTCAGTTCCAGTTTTATTACAGATTACCAATATGTATTTACCCTAATACCGTTAGCTAACCCAATAGAGTTGTTTAAAACTGGAACTGAAATCCTAAATTTCATCATTTTCGGTGCCTTGGAACTATTTCAAATAAATGCTAAATATCTATAAGCCGTCAACTTATAGATTTAGTGTCAACAATTAAAAATTTAACCCTGATTTAAAAATCGAGATAAATGTTCATGGATACGGCCCTCAATTATCGATTCCCGATACTCGATTTCCAATTCTCGATTACCAATTCCCGAACCATCAGCTGTGCCTTCTTCATCTATTGCACAAACGAAAACTTTCAAGATTTCACTCAGCAAACAACGCAAACAACCGTCAACGAGAAGAAAGGCGAGCAAATCGTTATTAATAGCGACCCATTTCTCATCCTCAACAAACCGTCGCAACATCGCAACTGTAAACTGGCAACACCCGGCTTCCAGAAGCAGGAAAATATAAATAAAAAATATAAATGCCATTGTTTGTGTGCCTTTTTTTTTCATCCTTTCACAAATACTTCAGAGGAGAACCCGTTTTTCATGTGCTAACTCGTTTATCACCACCATGTTGCGCTTTCAACGGCCGACCCGAAGCTACCTTTTCCCTATAAAGACGATTTTGCTGCCAACCGCAAACAGTTTATAATAATTTCGGTCAACCACTGCAATATGGTATGACACTTTTATGAGGGAAGGTATACTTTAGTACGAGATTTAAACCTTTGAAGCTTTTCCGTAGGAATCGAATTTCCAACCCATCGTCATTCCACATATTTTCTGTTTTCCTCAAGCTTGAAACTCAATTTTGTTCTCGTTCCCATTCCGAAGCAATACAATAGATGCTTCCAACGAAAAGATTTGCAGTCGATAATGATGCTAAAAATAGTCACAAGAGACAAATGAGCAAGGATATTCTCCTCTGTCACTACTTGCTACTGCTCAGGGCTAGAAAAGCAACATGAATGGGCAGCTGATTCCTGGAAGAACAAAATCGTTTTAATGCAGCTTCATTTATTTCCCACAAAAGGAAGTATGAATGAAGTCTTGCGGAAGTGGAGCTTATGGAGGCAGGAAGTGATGGACTGGAAGTGGTGACAGGATGAAAGATGCTGGTAACAGATTAAATGGGCTTTCACGATACAATTTGTCAAGTTTGACAAATTTGTCAATTTATGAATTTTAAAAATCTATAAATAAGTATTAAATTTCAATAAGACCGTTTTCTCAATTTCTAAATAGGGGAAATGTATGTAATGTCGGCCTAAGTGTCCCTAATTTGGGCCCATACATAAATTCAGCAATCGACTACATTTTCAATAGCAACTAAAAATATCCATTTGTTCCGTCCCCCCATCTAGATTAAATTGATAAATAGCAGATTTTTAGCGATGGGCCCAATCTTAGATCCATAGGCCAACATTAGAGCCATTTTCTCTATGTCTATTTACTATTTTTAATTTCGAATTTCGTCGATTTATTCAGTAGGAAAATTTGTCAGTTGGTCATATTTGTTATATAATTTTTTTAATTTTAAAAATTTGTCAGTTAGTAAGTTTGTCAATTTGTCAATTTATTGATTTGAATTTTTTTTAATATGACAAATGATCAGCCAATTTGTCAATATGACAATATTTCAATTTTTTTAATATTACACTTGATTTTTTTCAATTTGTAAATTTTTTATGTTTTCAATTTGTCAATTTCATCAATTTGTGATTTGTCAATTTCGTCAATTTGTTAGTTTGTCAATTTAAAATTTCAAATTTATCAATTTTCAATGTTGTTATTTTAATCAGTATTGTCAATTTCCCAATTGGTCTCCCAACAAAATTTTATGTTGTTTGTTGATGCTGAATAAGCCAATATGCAGTATAATCTCTTTTTAGCCATCATTGTATGTTGAGCAGTTTTTCAACTTGTCATTTTGTCAATTAGCAATTTGTGATTGATAAATTTTTCAATTTATCAATTTGTCTGATGTGTCATTTTGATAAATTTGTCAATTTTACCTATTTCTTCAATTTGTGGTTTGTCAATTGATAAATGGACCGATTTGCCTATTTCATAATTTTCGTGAGCATTTTCGTTCATTTTTCACCCTGCAGCTTAATCAGCTTCATAAAGCTCATAAACAGGTCTCGTTGCAATTTGGGAAATTTTGTTCATTTTTTTGATTTGTCAATGATTTGTCATACATTACCAATCATCCTGCAATTTATAAATTTGTCTAATTATTAATTTGCACAAATTGGCAAATTTGGATAATCTTTCAAATTTGTCCATCTGCTTGACAAATTTGGAATTTGGAATCAGGAATTTGGAATTTGAAATTTGGAATTTGGAATTTTTAATTTGGAATTCGGAATTTGCAATTTGGAATTTTGAATTTTGGATTTGGAAATTGGAATTTGGAATTTGGAATTTGGAATTTGGAATTTGGAATTTGTAATTTGGAATTTGGAATTTGGAATTTGCAATTTGGAATTTGAAATTTGGAATTTGCAATTTGGAGGAATTTGGAATTTGCAATTTGGAATTCAGATTTTTGAATTGGGAAATTGAAAATAAGGAATTTGGGGTTTGTTATTTGAAATTTTGAATTTTTAATTTGTGTTTGAAATTTGGAATTTGGCATTTGGAAATAGCAATTTTTTATTTGGAAATATAGAATAAGGAATATTTGGAATTAAAATTTGGAAATCGGAATTAAAAATTTGTAATTAAGAATTTAGAATCTAGAATTTGGAGTTTGAAATTTAAAATTTAAAATTTGAAATTTGAAATTTGAAATTTGAAATTTGAAATTTGAAATTTGAAATTTGAAATTTGAAATTTGAAATTTGAAATTTGAAATTTGAAATTTGAAATTTGAAATTTGAAATTTGAAATTTGAAATTTGAAATTTGAAATTTGAAATTTGAAATTTGAAATTTGAAATTTGAAATTTGAAATTTGAAATTTGAAATTTGAATTTTGAAATTTGAAATTTGGAATTTGCAATTGTGAATTTGGAATTTGGAATTTGGATTTTGGATTTTGGAATTTGGAATTTGGAATTTGGAATTTGGAATTTGGAATTTGGAAATTGGAATTTGGAATTTGGAATTTGGAATTTGGAATTTGGAGTTTGGAATTTGGAATTTGGAAATATGAATTTGGAATTTGGAATTTGAAATTTGGAATTTAGAATTTGGAATTTGGAATTTTGAATTTGGAATTTGGAATTTGGAATTTGGAATTTGGAATTTGCAATTTGGAATTTGGAATTTGGAATTTGGAATTTGGAATTTGGAATTTGGAATTTGGAATTTGGAATTTGGAATTTCGAATTTGGGATTTGGAATTTGGAATTTGGAATTTGGAATTTGGAATTTGGAATTTGGAATTTCTTTCCTTTATTTAACGTCGGTCTCTGTTCCGCAATCTAGTGCCAATCACCGACGGACATCGATTGCCATCCAGTGACGGCAATCGAATAAGCAGGAAGGCAGCTTCCACACCTGCGTAGGATATCGCACCCATTCAACACACATGGGCCGGGACCAACGGCTTTACTTCCCTTCCGAAGGAAGACGTGCCTCAGAAAAATCCCACCGACCTCGGCTGGGATTGAACCCAGACCTATCGGGGTGTCAGAAAGCAGTCACGCTTACCACTACATTTGGAATTTGGAATTTGGAATTTGGAATTTGGAATTTGGAATTTGGAATTTGGAATTTGGAATTTGGAATTTGGAATTTGGAATTTGGAATTTGGAATTTGGAATTTGGAATTTGGGATTTGGAATTTGGAATTTGGAATTGGAATTTGGAATTTGGAATTTGGAATTTGAAATTCAGAAATAAAAATTTAGTATTAAGAATTTGGTAATGAGGGATTTGAAATTTGACATGTGGACATTGGAATTTGGGATTTGGAAATATGAATTTGGAATTTGGAAGTTGGAATTTGGAATTTGAAATTCAGAAATAAAAATTTAGTATTAAGAATTTGGTAATGAGGGATTTGAAATTTGACATGTGGACATTGGAATTTGGGATTTGAAAATATGAATTTGGAATTTGGAAGTTGGAATTTGGAATTTGGAATTTGGAATTTGGAATTTGGAAATTTCAAATTTCAAATTCTAAATTCAGATTTACAAATTTAAATTTCAAATTTAAATTCAAAATTACAAATTCCAAACTCCAAATTCTAAATTCATACTTACAAATTTAAATTCCAAATTCATATTTGGAATTTGGAATTTGGAATTTGGAATTTGGAATTTGGAATTTGGAATTTAGAATTTGGAATTTGGAATTTGGAATTTG